TTCCCACTTAATATAAAAGTAATTTCAAAGCGAACAACACTAAATTTACCATATTCACTCACCTGGTAATGTGGTAATGTGCAATCAGATTGTCAGTGTTCTCTGATAGGAAGACAATCAAGCTGTGATCCTGAGTACAAACAGAAATAGAAATTCATGTTAATATTAAAAATAAAATAAAATGCATGACACAGTAATGACAGTGAACATCTAAGATTTAAATGCTAAAATAAGTTAGAATTTTCAGTAAACATCAGTAGACTTTACTGTATGAATTCAGTATACACAAATTCTTATCAAAGATAAAGTTAATCAGTCAAGAGCAGTGAGTGATATTTTTCTGTTTTGTGTTGATTAACATTAATGACAATACACGGATTTAATATACTTACAGACATTCCGTTTTCTGTTTACATTCACTTAGGACGTAAACGACTGTTTATGTAAACCTGTCCTTGTGTGTATTCGACAGTTTAAGAGTGATTAGCTGTGAAGATCTTAGTTCAGCATTCGCGCTGTTTTCTGTGCGTCAAAGTCATCAACTTTCTGTGCGTGTGCGCAGAAACACTGTCAGGACAGCACACGAGTAAAATAATTTAATAAAGAAAAGCTCTACTTAACAGTTACTTACCTTCACCGTGGATGAGAAGTCCTCTTCTGAGATCTGGTTTTCTAAAATGGCCATAACAAATTGCACGTTTCAAAGTTAATCCAGTTCGTCACGTGGTATCTGCTTGGGTCCTAAAAAATTGTGTTAATTTGACTATTTTTTTTATTTTTATTATTGTTGACTTTACTCGAAATTACTTGTTGTTTTTCTTTATTAATTAAAGTAATCCATAAACTCAGTATGTTATGTAACATTTGTAGCTTTAAATTAAGTAATGTGCAAAACTGATTTTTTAAAAGTAGAATCTGTTTATTTTAATGAGCCATATTTGCTGAGCGCAGGCATCTGTTGGGTCCTAAAAAATTGTGTTAATTTGACAAATTATTTTTATTGTTGACTTCACTCAAAATTACTTGTTGTGTTTCTTTATTAATTAAAGTAATCCATAAACTCTGTATGTTATGTAACATTTGTAGCTTTAAATTAAGTAATGTGCAAAACTGAATTTTTTAAGTAAAATCTGTTTATTTTAATGAGCCATATTTGCTGAGCGCAGGAATAATTTTTTACAGTGTAGGTTTAAGTTCTACTACCTTTCAAATCTCTACACGTTCCGGTATATATGACCAATAACGTTTCACTCAACATAGATGGTTTTCTTAATATCAGTTTTAATTTCTGATTTGTCATTTTGAAAAATATAAATGATACAGTTTCAAATGGACTAATACTAGAGATTCTGTACAATTAGAAACCTACAGTAGACTACAAGTGGAAATGCTGATCAGTTAATTGAAGGGCCATACCTGTATCTTTCCATCCTGAGCTCCAGTGGCGATCATGTCAGAGTCGTGACTTACTGCCAGACACAGAACAGCCTCATCCATCATCATGAAATTATCCTGAGCTTGGTACTTCAGATCCTACTCACACAAGAAACAAACAAACAGGCAGACCATCAGACATCACATTTAACCACACAAAATTACATTACATCATGTTATAATAAAAAAAATAAGATTTTCATACACTGTTTAATTAGGGAAAATTAAATAGCATAAGAAAATACACCCACATGATGGGTTGACTGAGGTCTGGTACAATTTACGATCAAAGGCAAACTGTGGAGAAATTTTATTTGTTCACGATCTAATATTGCACCATGTGTTTGGGGTGTGTCAGACGGCGAAATATAACAACTGTGGACCATCCTTTTTTTGCACAGACCAGACAATCTGCCACTCACCATTATTTAACATTCATCTCATAAAAGTTATTTTAATGAGCCATATTTGCTGAGCGCAGGAATAATTTTTTACAGTGTAGGTTTAAGTTCTACTACCTTTCAAATCTCTACACGTTCCGGTATATATGACCAATAACGTTTCACTCAACATAGATGGTTTTCTTAATATCAGTTTTAATTTCTGATTTGTCATTTTGAAAAATATAAATGATACAGTTTCAAATGGACTAATACTAGAGATTCTGTACAATTAGAAACCTACAGTAGACTACAAGTGGAAATGCTGATCAGTTAATTGAAGGGCCATACCTGTATCTTTCCATCCTGAGCTCCAGTGGCGATCATGTCAGAGTCGTGACTTACTGCCAGACACAGAACAGCCTCATCCATCATCATGAAATTATCCTGAGCTTGGTACTTCAGATCCTACTCACACAAGAAACAAACAAACAGGCAGACCGACAGACATCACATTTAACCACACAAAATTACATTACATCATGTTATAATAAAAAAAATAAGATTTTCATACACTGTTTAATTAGGGAAAATTAAATAGCATAAGAAAATACACCCACATGATGGGTTGACTGAGTAAGGTTCTTTATTATGTCTACCAGAAAGAAGAACTACAACCACAACATATTATATTCCATATTATTCTGAGTCTCATACTGTACACTCAAATTCCCCAGTAGTAGTGGAAGTCCATGTCTGAGAATGGGGCAGGATTTATTTTGGGCCCCAACTACCTCAACTCAACCTAATAGACGTCATAGAGTGCTGGGGTGACCCATATTCTATACCCCTGAGGTTTTAGTAGAAACCAAGGTTCTCTCAACAGAAAAATGAAGCCACACTAAATGTGAGATTTTACTTTTTGCCCCCACAAAACAGGCCTAGGACAGCATATGTGCGTTGCCTCTTTCACGCATCAAGGAGATGATGTTCTTGAGCTGTGTAGTTTAGAAGATCAGGCTTTGAGAATAAAGAGATAAATATAAACTGAATCTGTTAATATATAATTACTTATATATATATATACACATTACTTTCAATTTATAATTACATTTCAAGGCATTTTAGTAAACATACTGCATATTTGTCAGAGAACCTTGGAAGAACCTGCTGGAAAGACAACCATCTCTGCTACACTCCATAAATCGGGTATGGTACAATGATTATATGAAGTCGTTTATCAAAAGGCAAATGAAAGTCACGTTTTTTTTTTTTTTAAGAATTCAAAGAGTTTTATTGTTCATTTACAACAAATCATTTAGTACAGTTAACAACTTTCATAGCTTCTGTTATTCTTTTGGTGATGATAACCAATTTAATTCTCTCTCCCCATCCTCTGACAAGCAGTTACAGTACCCTCATGAATCATTTGTCTGGCAAGCATTTCTCTCTGGATGAACGCCCATCATCTAAAGCTGAATATATTGAATACTGGTGTGCTGCTGTTCACCCTGGCCAAGAACTACCCTTGCCAGTGCCTTGTCAGCTCAATGATTTCATCTACACAGAATGCCAAAAACCTTGGTGTCACATTGGACAAAGACCTGTCATTAACAGCCCACATTCTAACAAATGTCAGGACAGGATACAGAACATTTGCAGAGTCTACATACATTTCTCAACAGAGAAGCTATTGAGATTCTGGTAGAGAACCTGGTATGCTCTTGTCTTGACTGCGTGACTGACTCGTGACTGACCTCACAGCACATTTAATCAAACATCTGCAGCTCATCCAGAACACTACAGCCCAGCTGATACTCAACCTTCCCAAGTACACTCCCGTTTCACCTCTGCTATGCTCTCTCCACTGGCCCTCTATACATGATAAGATATATAAGGTAGAATATACACTATTGGTCAAAAGTGTTTAATAATAAAGTTTTTTTATGTTTTTGAAATAAGTCTGTTATGCTCACCAAGGCTGCATTTATTTCATCAAAAATACAGTAATGTGAAATATTATTGCAATATAAAATAACATTTTGAATGCAATATAAAATAACTGTTTTAATATTTTAAAATGTGATATATTCCTGTGATGTCAAAGCTGAATTTTCAGCAGCCATTACTCCAGTCTTGCAGTTTCACATGATTATCCTTCAGAAATCATCTTATAATATGCTTAAGATTTACTTATTATCATCAGATGTTGAAAACAGTCTTTGTTGATTAATATTTTTGAAGAAGCTGCCATACACTAACATTTAAAAGCTTGGGGTAAGATTTAAAAAAAAATAAAGCTGCATCGAACTGACCAAAAGTAACACATCAAAAGACATTTATAATGTTTCAAAAGATTTCTATTTCAAATAAATGTTGTTCAACCTTTCTATTCATTAAATAATCCTGGAATCAGCATATTCGAATGATTTCTGAAGAATCATTTGACACTGTGGATGACGCTGCTGAAAATTCAGCTCTGCCATCACAGGAATAAATTACATTTTGAAGTGTATAGAAATAGAAAACAGTTCTTTTAAACTGTAATAATATTTTAATATTACTTAAATATAGTATAAATTATTACATAATTATTATATAAGAAAGCATTTTTCCTAATATATGTGAAATACCGTTTATTTGATGGGCAGTATATACTCACCTTCCGAATTTTACCAGTGGTGAAGTTCCAGACTTCAATGAAACCATCAACAGAACCAGTAATCAAGTACTGTCCATCAGGAGAGAATCGCACACACTCTACGTGGGACTTTGGCCCAAACTGTATCAAACATGTACACACATGCACAAACAGAAAACAAAAAAAAAACAAAAAAATATATATTAATATTATTTTAATAAGTACTTCACACTATAAATATTGTTCCAAAGCAGTTTTGAGATGATGCATTAACTTTGACCACTGTAAATATATATATCAATGATTTCTTATATCCTCTCTTATATTAAAACAATTGCACCACCTTTTCCAAACAGTAAGAATAATCATTTATAATGCACTGTTGTGTTTACACCTTTATGAGGCGACTGAGCTGAGTAGGGAAGCGCTCTTCCTCCATGTCCTTCAATGCACCTTTGCCCCGGAACAGTTCCAAAGACATACCTGGAGGTAAGAGATCCTGGTGCTGCTGCCACTTCAATGACTTCAAAGACAAAGTGTGGGAAACAGAGAAAAAGAGTAGAGGATGTAAAGTTGAAAAAGAAAAAGCCAGGTAATACTGCTCCGGTAGTAGAGTCTTTTTTTACTCACCAGCATTGCTAATGAGCCAAACTGCCTTAGTGCTTTGGTTTCCTGTAACCTGTATAAAGCCCCCTCACATATACGGCCCTATAAAAACAAAGGGTATGTGATGCATGCAATACAATAGATATATAGAATGCAAAAGGATAGGCCAAAAAAGACAAAAAACCTAGCAAACCTGGCCCAGAAGAGCCATGAGACGAGAAGGTGGCACCAAACAGACCTCTCCTGCAAAAGCTTGAGCGATAGCCAGCCTGCGCTTCTCTTTACTGCTGCCCACTGGATATGCCTGTAGGCCAGTAGCAAGACAAATAAAAGAGTAAATCATTGTTACATAAAAATAATAGCCATCTTATTTTTTCCACTTTATTTTTAAGAGTGGGTGATGCCTTTTGTAACTTGAATGTGCCTGGCTTCCAGTGTGATACATTCCGTTAAAATAAAAATTATTAAGGTTTAAATGTTTGAAAATGAAGAATTTAAGACATAAATATCAGCACTGTGACTTGCAATGTAAAACAAATCTCTCTCTCTCTCTCTCTCTCTCTCTCT